GAGAGAGAAAGAGAGAGAGAGAGAGAGAGAAAGAAAGAAAGAAAGAAAGAAAGAAAGAAAGAAAGAGAGAGAGAGAAAGAGAGAGAACTGTTTTCACTGAATAAGCTATAAGGCCTTCTCCCTGACCTCCCCAGTAAAAATACCAAGCTAGAAAACAAAAACATCGATACTGCACATTAAAAAGAATATTATAGGGAACATACAATGGCAACTTGCCAATGGGAAGATAAAAATTAGGAATCCTCCATCTGAGATCTGGTAATTGCTGGGCCTGTCATTTATCATTCACTATGATGGTCAATCAACATTAACCAAAAGTCAGGGAAAAAACCCAACAACTTAGAGTCTCCCTGTTGAAACATCAATCAAGACCCAAAGCAGATTTGGTTACTTCACATGTCCTAGAAGACAGATACAAAATATTCTAAACATGAAGTTCTTTGATGGTATTGTCAATTACAAGAACTTTTGCAGAACTAGATTGCATGATTCTAAAAATGTAAACAAATATGTACCTTGTTATTATCTCTTATAATTACCTGTTCCTTAGAGGTACAGGATGAGTTATTTATGAGGACAGGACAGCATTTGTTCATTTTAAAATGCACATCAACAACTAAAACAAACAATTGAAAAAATTCAACAGGGAAATGATCTCTACTTAGTTTGCTTCAAATTCCTTAAGACCCACTTAAACAACTGCAAATTTGGCAAGTAAATATAATTTTAAGTATGAATATGATTGTGAGAAGCAAAAACACAAGTGTTCCAACCACTATGGGAAGCTATAATGTCTTTCACAGATTTTATTCTCGAGAAATCTTTCCTATTGACCCTTCTCTAAGGATTTAGGAATTCCAGTATTTAAAAAAGAATGCAGCTGGATTCTGGTTTCTAAAATCCCTTCTCCATTAAAAGAAAACAGGGTTCTTTGGAAAAATGGCTAATTTCAGGGAGGGGGCAGGTAATGCTATAGAGGAGCCTGAAATATCCTGTGACAGAAAGCAAGGAAGACGTGATGGAAGGGGCTCCCACTAACCCAGGCTGGTACAATCTGAATATGAACCTAAGTTAGCACAGCAACAGAATATAATTCACTGAATAGAATAAAAATCCATAGCAGGGCATACGCCTGTATTCCAGTGGCTTGGGAGGCTAAGGTAGGAGGATCCCAAGTTCAAAGCCAGCCTCAGCAACTCAGTAAGACCCTGTCTGTAGATAAAATACTAAAAAGGGCTAGAAATGTGGCTCTGTGGTTAAGTGTTCCAGTACCAAAAAATAAAATAAATAAAAAATAATAAAAATCCATAACTTCACACTGATAAGTACATAAATAAATAGAGAAGAAAACAATCTTATGGTAGAATATCAATTCACAAACAGCAGAAGAAATGATGGAGTTAGAAAATCACCATTTTGCAATCAGGAGGAAATTTGGTTCATGTACAAAAAACCACCAACAGACAATTCTGGTGCTACTGGTGAGGCTGTATACCAGTCACAAATGCATGAATTGACACAAGTCTTGAAGAAACATCAAACTCAAATTAAGGATTTGTGTCCTTCAAAATGCAATATCATTAAAGACAAATACCCCTGAGGAACAGTTCCCACAAAACAAGGCTAAGGAGATGACAGCTTAATATATCCTGACTCTATCTTGGATCCTGATTTGAAGAAAAAAGTCACTACAAAGGACACTACTAGGACAATGGTAGTGCACTCCTGCAATCCCAACAGCTTGGGAGACTGAAACAGGAGGATCACAAAGTGCAAGGCCAGCCTGGGCAACAGAACAAGACCCTGTCTCAAAATGAATTTAAAAAGACTGAGGATGTCCCTCAGTGATAGAGCATCTCTGGGTTCAATCCCCAGCATCACAAAGCAAACAAACAAACAAAATAAATAATATGCTAATAATAATGACTACATCAGCTGAAAATTTCCCGAAGTGGTAAATCTACTGTGGCCATACAAGAGAGTACCCATGTTCTTACAAATTACATACCAAATGGACCTAGTCACAAATATGTACTGAAGCCTCATACTAAAGGCATAATACATGCAATTTATTTTCAAATAACTGTGAAGAAAAAAAATAGGGAAAGAAAGAATTAAAAACAAAAACATGGCAAAATATTAAATATGATGATTTTAAATATAAAGGAGAATATAAAGGAGACTCTTTGTATTTAAATATAAAGAATATAAAGGAGACTCTTTGTATTATTGCAATTTTCTGTAAACATGATATTCAAAACAAAGTTTAAACAGACATAATAGAAAAATATCTTTCTTGAAGAAATATCCTTTTAGTTTTGGTAGAATAAATGGTATAATTTCAAGTATAACTCTCATTTCATCACAATGCTAAAATATGGTTCTAAATTAATTGTGATGCAGACACTATTTTTACAGTGTTGCATTTATGAGGCAAGTGCTGTTTTCAGTGAGCTACACTCCCGGTGCCATAAAATTTATTCTTAATGGACTTGTTTTACATTTTCTTTGTAACTTCAAAGAAATAGGTTCTTGGTGCCAAATATGACAAGTTAGAAAAGAAATTCATTTTTAATGCAAGACTAGAAGGTTTTGGAAAGAGAGAACATGTACTGAATTCCTACCACATACGAATTTACAGTCTATATCCCTGAATTCATTTCTTGTGCACACCAAAACTTTAAAGCAGGTATTACTACTCCTACTTAATAGATTTAAAAACCTAGGTTTTGAGAAGCTGACCAACACCACAGAGGTTATGCAGCCAATAAATGGCAGTTTTGGAAACACGACCTAAATATATTTAAATCCAAATCCTATGTACTTAGTCAACGCCATTTTACTTCCCTAGCCTGGAATCTCCACTAGAAAAGGTCAGGGGCCTATTTGCTTCAAATCTTAATAATTCCCTGGACAATATTCTCTTCCAGGATTCAAAGTTCTATTAATTGTGGTAGTTGAAAGCACAAAGTACCAGCAAGCACTTACTCATCAAGCAGAGTATATCCAGAGGGTTCAATTTCTTTTTTACATTAAAACCAAGAAAAAGAAATAACAAATCTTTCAAACTCTCAGCAGTTTTTTTCAGATGTGATTTATAAGCTTTTGAACAACCTTTAAAAAACAAAACCCAAAACACTTTAGTGTGATTAAAAACCCCTGTGTTTTTGCTAAATTGCAGTTTCCTAGGAATCATCCCTAAGAATCTCATTCAGCAAATCTGGATGGGAACCACCTCGAATTTGCAAATTTAACAAAACCCCAGGTGTTTCAGAACAGACCAGTAATCTTCAGGCTCCATAAACCTATTAACACTCCAGGAATTTTCAAATAGGAGGTCAAATAAAGTTATCTGGCTTGAAGAGACTCCAAATATAAAAACAATTTTCCCCTTATTCCACATAATATGTAATAAAAAAGTCTGATCTAAGAGTATAGTGAGCTCAGGCACTTGCCTCGCATATGTGAGGCCCTGCGTTGGATCCCCAGCACACATGCATGCATACATGAGTAAATAAATAAAATAGATATTTAGTTTCTGGGACAACCAAGTGAGGGGGAAATGGCCTTTGCCCTCAGTCTGCTACAGTCAGAATAGGCTTGAATCTTGGATTTTCCACTTCTTAGGTGGGGACCCCTGGAAATGTTCACCTCTGGGCCTCAATTTCCCCATCTGTAAAATGAAGAGAATAATACTGGCTTTGCAGAGTCACCAAGGGAATTAAATATGATAATAAGTTTGTCCTTTCCCCAAGATGGGCCAGAATTTGCTGTGTGCACCATATTAAGATAAAATTCAGAGTAGAAAAATGCCACATGCATAGACTCTAAATTTTTTTCCTCGAAGAACAATAACATCTGGGGATTTGCAAGCACTTAGAGGAAACTAGGCTCGGTATCAGATCTTGAATAAAATGCACAGACCAGCTCTCACTTTCTTCCTAAGATGGCCCTGCAGGTGTTAAGGAGCTGGGGCTGTCTGCATTAATTTACTTTCCTTGGGTGGTAGCTCCCGCCTCAAGGCCATTCCTTCTCAAGTTAGTGGTTCATCCCCAGGTTCATTTCCCACAGGTCTAAGGAAGCTAACTCGCAGCTTCTCGAGGCTCTAACACACACTTCAAAGAGCAACCTCTTCCCTGCCCCGGGAATTTGGTTGCCTTCGGCAGGCAAAACCTCTGTCTCCGGGCGGGAGAGGTCAAAACCTCTGTCTCCTGGCGGGAGAGGTCCCAGGCTGCCGGGACCTGGCTCAGGGCCCCCTCTCTTTGTGCCGGCTCCCACGGCTCCCATAGCCCCAGCAGGTACCTGCGGCGCCTAAAGCCCGCTGCGCGCCGACGGTGGGTCCCGGGCGTCAGCAGACCAAGCAGAACCTTCCCAGAGTTCAAGAATGCTCCTCAAGCCTCCAGGGCCCTTTGAATAGGGTGGGCACGTCCCCTGGGCTTCCCTCATTTCCATGTGAATCGCCCCTAGGCACCAGGCCTATCACGGGGTCAGCGCTAAAGGATGGAGCTGGACTCACACCCTATCGGACTGAGCTGTCGCAGAGCTGGCCTCAACCTGTGCGCTCAACGCCCTCCTTTCCTGGTTGTTTTTCCTTTCCTAAAACCCTCATAATTTCACTTCCCGATTTTTAAACCAAGATTATTATCTCTTAATTTTCCTACTCTTTGCTAAGACTTGTTTTGGAGAGGATGCCTTTTTCGGGGAAGAATTGCAGGGCCACTGGAAAGACAACACTGAGAAGTGGGCACACTTGTCTGCTCAGGCCTCTCTCTGCAGTCCCTTTCCCTGGCAGGCAGCGCCCTCACTTTGCCAGGATTTTGCCAGACCTCAGACTTTTTACTGTAGCTCCTTAACCCTCTGGCCATAGGAATGAGCTGATCTCAGTTGGCACCCTGGGCAGCCAGAACCCAGGAGCAATTCACAGGAACTGGAGCCCCCTCATCCTTGTGAACACTTATGCTTTAAAGGAACTGGGGTAGAAGAGAGATTCACAACTTGCCATTTTTGTAAGAAAATGAAGAAAGGAAAGGAAAAAGAGAAAAAGAAAAGAAAAATTGCAAACTTCCATACACATTTCTATATATAGGTAAAATATGTAAGTATACAGAGAAAGGTCAGAGAACCTGCCAATTTCATCACAGAGTTTGCCTCAGGGAAGGCTCTGGGATTGGAGGTAGAAGCTGGAGTCAGTGGAGACTGAGCTCAACCATATTTTGTTTTTGTTTTCCCTGCTGGGGATGGAACTCAGGGCTTCATACATGCCAGTCAGGTACTCTATCACTGAGCTACATCTCCAGCCCCCAATCTGTATTTTTTAATATAACAAAAGAACAAGATATTTTTAAATTTTGTCAGGCTACAATACCTCTCTACTGGTGAAAATTTAAGCAATCTGAGAGAAGACAACTTTTGGATAAGAGCCCTTCCCACTGCTTCTAAAATCACACCATCACCTTGTAATGTTGACTATACTGGATGGTGAGCTGCAGGGAGGCTGCTTCCCTCCACCATCTAATGGAGCTCTTTTTAGTTTTAAAATATATTTAAAGAAATGTTTATGGGGCTGGGATTGTGGCTCAGCGGTAGAGTGCTCACCTAGCATGGGCAGGACCCGGGTTCCATCCTCAGCACCACATAAAAATAAAGGCATTGTGTTGTGTCCATCTATACCTAAAAAATAAATATTAAAAAAAGAGAAATGTTTATATGACATTGTGTGTCTCAAGAACTGTTCTAGGCACTTTATGAATATTAGGTGTTTTAATTCCTCATAATGATCTTACTATTGTCCTCATTTTGCTGATGAGGCAAGAAGAGTAATCAAGAAGTTGGCCCAGTAAGTGCTGTGAGCCACTGCAGTCCAGTCTCTGCACTTGGCCAGGAGCTGTCTTACCTCCAGTGCTTTTCCCCGGGCATCCAAGTCCTGTGAGTTGTGACTATGACTGTGAATTCCACTTCTGAGTTTTGGTGGCCATCTGGTAGTTAGTGATGGGGGTTGGGGGGGGTGGATTCTAAAACACAACCTAATCTGTTTTTTTATTTTTTTAGTTGTTGATAGACCTTTATTTATTTATATGCAATGCTAATAATCGAACCCAGTGCCTCACACATGCCAGGCAAGTGAGCCCCAGCCCCAGCCCAAAACACAGCATAATCTTTAGACCCACAGTCCATGAGACTGTGCACAGTGGAGTATTTGAGCATCATCATATAACTGTATCTACTAAATCTATTGAGTATAATGTAAAATTTAAACCCTTCAGATAGTCAAATGTATAGTAGATATTTACATAGTAAATATCCAATAGTGTTCCAGAAAATTTATGGCAAAAAAATGATGTGAATTGAAGCAAGTAAAAGGCCTATTTTGTCATATCCTTTAATTTCCAAATGAAAAGAAGAATAAAGAGGAATGGGTCAGCATATTATAAACTTTAGTATTTTATCTACTTAACACACATACACTTACCCCACCCCCCAGTACTGAGGATGAACCTAGGGCTTTACACATGCTAGACCAGCACTCTATCACTGATAGAACTCCTAGCCACCAAAACCTTTTAACCCAAGTCTTCACTTTCAAGAATTTATTCTACGTAAATAATTAAACAAGTGCCCAAAATATGTACCTACAGGGATATTCACCAATCTTTTAAAAATTTTAAAAATCACCTGAACAGAAAACAACCAAAATCTCCTCAAAAGGATCCTGGGTTAAAAAAAAAAAAAGGGCATGTTCATATAGTAGAAAACAATTAACCTACTAAGATATAGATTTTTATATTTATTAATATGAAATTATATCTAATAATTATTGTTGAAAAATCAGAATATAAAACAATTTACAAAAAATTAGTTTTGCTAAGAGGGGATTTTGTATGTGTGTGTGTGTGTGTAGTACTGGAAATCGAATCAAGAGGCAATTTACTGCTGAGCTACATCCCTAACCCTTTTTATTTGAGACAAATTCTCACAAATTGCTGGGGTTGGCCTCGTACTTGTCCTGCCTCCTGAGTTGCTAGGATTACAGATGTGCGCCACTGCACCGCTTTAAAAGAGAAACATTTTAAATGTACAGATTTGGGGCTGGGGATGTGGCTCAAGCGGTAGCGTGCTCGCCTGGCATGCGTGCGGCCCAGGTTTGATCCTCAGCACCACATACCAACAAAGATGTTGTGTCCGCCGAGAACTAAAAAATAAATATTAAAAAAATTATCTCTCTCCTCTCTCACTCTCTCTTAAAAAAAATAATAAAATAAATAAATGCACAGATTTGAAAAGGAAAAGTGTGGAAATTCTGATTTTCTCCCTTCTTTTCACTTATTCTCTTTTCTAGTATTTCTATAGAGAACATGTAATATGACAAAGAATAATTAAATAGAAAAAAAGGACACTTGCTGTGAGATGAGAACATTCTAGCATTAACAGTTTTCAATTTCCTGTTCATCCATTTCAAACTCTTTCTTCACTTTTTAATAATCGGAGTTTTCTCTCCTAATCTAATCCCTTTAAACTGATGAAGAGAATAGGTAACGAAACACTGTTGAAATAACTTACAAAAACAAAGCAGCAGTACAGTCCTCTGCTCAGCACTCTATCTAGAAGCAATCTTTTTGAGCAAATCCTGAGAGGCAGCAGTCTCTGTAAATTTGCTCATCTCCTCCCAGACCCTCTGGAGGAATCACAAATCCTGGTTTTCCGTATTCCCACACCACTCTGGCCAGCCCCTACCCCCCAGCCCCACTCTTTTCCTTTAGCACCTACTCCACTTGGTTTGGAAGCAGTTTGTCCTGCTCTAAGTAAAGCTTTGAGTGCTATGAGGTCACTGGTCACTGTCTTCTGTGGGGTTCCCAGTAGACTTTATAGATCACCAGCCCTAAACCTCAGAAGTAACTGAAAACCTTCCTGGTGGTTAAACTGCTGCTAATTCAGGCAAGTAGCTGCCAGCAAAATCCCTGCTGGGAGGGATTCCTCTAGACCCAGCTCAAAGCTTCCCCTCCCCCCGCCTTTCTTCTCCAGGTCCCTTATCTAAGCTAAGGAGCTAACCAGATCTGCTGTTTAATCTGCAACTTTGTAGGCTGCCATGGTAGAGAGTTTATTACTAGGAGCAACTAACATACCATTTCTGAGCATTCGCTAAATACACATAAATCCTCAGGAGGTATGCCGTTGGCAGCCTTAAAACGGAGGTTTTAAGCAGCATAAGTAAAACTATCAATAGGGCAAAGGTAGTTTCTGTAAAATAATGTATTATAAAGAAGTTAGCACTGTTCACTAAGCAAATTCTGAGTATATGTCAGCCAACAAAATTTTTCATGAAGCGCCCCCCCCACACACACCTACACACACACCCACCACATACACACAACCTGATGTTATATTTACCAAGTCTCTCAAGGGAAGGTTTTATTGTACTCATTAACAAATGGGAAATGGGCCACAGAGGAAAGAAATAACTTGCCCACAACCACACAGATAGTAAGACAATACCTTCAAAGCCAGTATCCTGAGCCCATGCTTTCCATTAAATGTCAAGACCTATTCTGGGTTATATACCCTCTGCATATGAACAGGACCATTTCCTGCATTATATTTCCTTTTAGTAATAATAACACTTCAGTGAGATTTCAAAATGTGCTCATCTACATGACCCTCTAGCCATTTTTCTATCCTCTGTAAAACCAGACTTTCTCCAGTTTATATTAGATGGTTTACTTTCATTCCTTCTCCTTGCTTTTTTAACAGTTCAACTATCTTTCATAACTGTCTTCCTTCCTACAATGAGTTGAATTATAATCCTGCTTAAAGCTTTAATTATAAAAGTTTATACATATTTAGTAGAGAGCGCCCCAACAAAATGTTGGGAGATGGGGCAATGATAGAGAAAGTCGAAAGCCATCCAAAGCTTTCTTGAGTCTTGGACAAGTCATTTCATCTGTCTGGACTTCAGGAACAGCAATACAAGTGGGGTTAAAGGAGAGAGTCTCTTAAAATAAGGATATTTCCAAGAAAGATCAATATTTGATGGTAAAATCTGATTACCAAAGACTGTGGATTACCAAAGGAATGTGGGGAAAGACCCCTGCTTCCCCTGGCTTAGGTTTCTGAGGATGTATGTGGAGCTGCTTGTGGGGTATGAGAAGGTTCAATGAATACAGCACTGGCGTGCAAGACAAGCCACCTGGGCACTTGCCCTGCCTCCCCTCCTACCTGTGTGATCTTGGACAAGCTCTGTCCCTTTCTCAGAGCTGTTTCCACACCATATGACAAAGGGGTTGGGCCTCTTGGGTCCCTTCCCGCTCAGGAATCTTACATGATTTCCCAATCTTTCACTTCACTTAAGCCCCTCAATTCAGTACAAGCACACTAGACTCTAATTAGTTCCACAGGAGCATTATTTGTGGGGCCTCTTAGGACTCACCCTCCTGTCACCTCCTGTCAGCAAGCCCAGAGAACTGGCACTGTTGCTGTAATAGAACCTATAACAACATGGTTTCCTCATGATCTCATGACCTTGAAAGCCCAGCTTATCTCTGTCTTTTCCATCCATTCTGCTCACCTCTTTAAGGTTCAAGTTCCAGCTTCTCCATGAAGGCTTCTCTGGCCCTTGGAATACTCTAAACTTCCCTTCTCAAGTTGCAAAACAAAATAATCCCTGCTAGTTGGCTTTCGATATGCATGTTCGGGGCCCTAAAATTGAATATTCCACTTGATAACACACATTTATTGGGCACCTATTATATGCTACATACTATATTAGATTCTGGAAACACCACCTTCATTTCCTGTCTTCATGAAATTTAGACCCCACTGAAGCATCCAGTATAGCTAATGTGTGCCTAGTATTTTTAGTACTTACCACAGGAACTGCATTGAATAAATGGCAGCAATCACAGTGTTTCAAGCATTGTTGTGCTGTGATTATGATGGAAAACACTACACCAAGACTTTTTTATTTACTATTTTGCCACACCTGGTTAGGATTTAGGACTGCACTGATCTAAATAAGATTTCAGTTTGTTAGGGTCTGTAAACAAGTCAAGATGGCACCTGGCATTTTGCCAGAGGGAGTGGTTTGTGAAGTAACGCCAGCGAGCCATTAAGTATGGAGATTCCTTATTGGTTGACTGCTGTATCTAGTTTATGTTAATTAAGATAAGCTACGTATAATGTATATATACCCCTCTTGTCCTACAATAAACGGCTCCCACTCCTGCTATATCAATCTACACAAGTTGCTCCTCAACCCCCTGGTTTTTTGCTGCAGCTGGACTGCGGCATCAGTCTTTGTGGCTTGGATGGGCGCTGGAAAGCAGAAGAAACTGAATCCTCTATCCACAAAGCACTGAGTAAAGGACCAGAAGAATTCCACATTTTTTTTTTTTTGATCAAGTATTGGTATAGGTTGGCAGTAATCAGTGGCATTTTTGTATTTCAGTAGATGCTAAAATGTACATTTTCCCTCACATTTTAACACCTCTGAAATTTACAGCATGTCACAGCTTAATTAGCCAACTTTATAATGATAAGAGAATGAATTAATCTTATGCAGTGTCATTCAATTGATGATGTTATAGATTCAATGAAATGCAAATGTATATTTCATCAACTTGCCTCCTCTCAAGTTTACAACCAGAGGAAAGGGGTTTCTTGATCTCATGGAACCAGCT